CTGCTGCGAGCAGTTGCTGTGCTCAACAGCAAGAGCGAGGACACATTCCTGGGAAAGACGTGGTGGAGGTGAACTGGAATACTGCAGGATTGGGGGTAGTGAAACTGAGACAGAAGAAATGGCAAGGGTTGAGAAACAAAAGCAGAAAACCCTGAGGGAGATTCAGCATGATAAACAGCAGTAGCTGTACCCCTGGCTGGGTTCGTTCCGTGCTGCTCACGCTGTGACACTGCTCAGGTCTCTTAGGTCAGTCTTGCTGCACAGAGAGCCGTGGGACAGTGACAGAGCTGGCCCTGTCTGCAGCAGGACACTGGGAAGGGCACTGAGGCTGCTCAGGTACCCCAGTGCCATGGATGTGAGGAGAGCTGCCCTGTGCATGCCAAAGAGTGTCTGGAGTCCTCCAATTCCCCTTGGCAGCCTGTGACTGTYGGGCAGAGCACAGAGAGCAAAGACGTAATGTTCCATTTCCAAAGGCAGMGAGAGGAAGTAACATGAAATGAATTTTGCTCATCAGTCAGAAAATGAGTTATGATGACAATCTTTCCTTTGCTGGGTCTTCGTTGGTCCTTGTTTCTAAATTTTAAGTTTCCCCAAGGTAGTGGAGATTGATGTGAAGCAACACAAGCCACATAAGCAAGAAACATGTACTCAAGTAATCGATTTTAATAGTTGTTTGCATTTCCTTTTCTCAGTAGATGTTTTTAAGGCTGATTCTCATTTGAGTTTGAAACAAAATATAATGATTTTCTTTTTAAGCTTTTTCACTAAATCCTGTATTTAATTTTACCAAWTAAGAGAGTTGAAGTCAGCTATCGGTACATTTTTATTTAAGCAATACTGTGTTTTACAGTACATTTCAGCCTTATTTTTTAAAACTTTTGTGTTAGTATAAGGTACATGGCAGCTTTCCTATTTACCATATGAGTAATTTTTAAGCACATGGTGGGTCAAGCTGCATTTGTCTGGGAACTGAATTCCAATTAAAAAGTCCTAAAAATAGAATTTTTAGAAATGTTTTTAATGGTTAAGTGAATATGCTGAAGCCATATGGAAAATAATGTTTATCTAAACATACTTTACATTTCCAACAAGTCAATAACATAACGAAGACAGTATGGTCCTCATGTTCTTTAAGATTGCAGCCATTTTTCATACCCCCTTTTTACCATAGCTTGAAAGGAYATATTTGACTTCTGTCTTTCAGCTTCCAGTTGCTTTTCTGGTGAAGTAGGCTTAAAATTGTTCTTACTGAATGAAATGAAAATGT